TCTCACATCCCTTAGGACTTTTAAAGTCTCATCCCTCATTCTAAATCTAACAGGATCCTATACCTGTAACTTGGCAAGTATGATCATTTCCTATAAGAATTTCCACTTTCAATTGACTTGAAATCAACAAGTCAATCCTAGAATCCAATCCATAACCCACTCTTCATCATGAGAAGGAGGGGTGAAAGTGGACTGGGTTGGGCAGCTTGCCTCCAAAAGCCCAAGCCTATGTCAAATTTTCAATTTGACCTGGCCCGAGCCTAGTAGAGTCTAACTGTTAGCCTGACTTTACCCGTTTATAAAAAAAAACAAATGGCCTGCCTTGACCCGTTAGCTTGTTAATTTTTAACTTCCAAGCAAAACCTTGAACCAACTACACAAAATACTCAAACTTTGTTGCTAAAACAAAAATTACAATTTTAACGTCCCAACAGAACCATGAATCACAACAAAACTCATAACAATCTGCATTTAAGTTATTTTCAAAAGCAAAATGTTCAAACTAAATAACATATATTTCATCATATCCAACAAACAAATCTATACTATGTAAATTAAAATAACTATATGAATCCAATAAACACATCATGATGTTTGTAGTAGCCAAAAACTTCATTTCATATTCTCCCCTACAAATACAATTCCAAGATTACATAAGTTGGCAAACAAATTGTAAATGTAGAAAACAAATTGTTAATAGATTCATATAGGCAATCTCACATGCTGAGATGTTGGTTCCTCCTACATAAAAAATAAAGTCAAATTTCTATTAAAATTTAATCGAATATAATGAAATTATAAAATAATTTCAATTGATTAAATTTATATTTTTTGTTTTTTCTTCAAGTCATACCTATTACTTAGCCAATCTCCGTCGTATATTCTTGGATGATATCTTCAGCCAAGCTAAAACGGTAGGCATCAATAACTCTTCCTCCAGCACTAATTGTTGTTTCTGATGGTACTCTAGAGATTGATACAAATTTCATGTCACTCTCAAAGATAGTATTGGTGAGGGAATAAACCTAAGTCCTTCCACCACCTACTTAGCTCACATGCACCAACTGAACTATCACCATTTGGTACTACTATGAATAATATAATTTTATTTAACTTAAAATAAATAATATGATAGGTCGACCTGTAGGCTTATAGGACCGACATGTTAAAAAAAAGTCTATCATCTACTTTCTAAATAGGCTTCTTTCAGAGCCCGAGCCTGTTCAATTTGACTATAAGTAATAGGCCAAGCCCGACCTGATATAGGCTAGGCCGAAGGCCCCTATAGGCCCGCTCAGCCCACTTTCACCCCTAATGAGAAGCATATTAACAACTCAAGCTCCTAAGACCACGGTCAAGTAGGTCAAGGGAACTCCATGACAGGGGACCACCACCAATTAGTTAAACTACTCCAATTGTAATAAGTGGGTCCGACTGTAACGCCTGGCAACTTGCAAGGATCAACGACTGTCCCCACACACTAACACGAGACTTTTCAGCGTGCTTTGTCCTCACTCGCACACTTCCTGGGAAAACTTCCCAGGAGGTCACCCATCCCTGAATTGCTCCAAGTCAAGCACGCTTAACTGTGGAGTTCTTCCGATCCACGCTACCAAAAAGTAGATGCATCTTGTTAGTATAGGTAGTATCAATTAATTCTTATAAGCCATTCCCAACTGTACCGTCCCATACCAGCACAGTCTCTGGAATCCCTCTCTTTCGGGTGTTGATTCGATTCATTCATGTACCCCCGTCCCTAGAAGCCTGCCAGGAGCCGCTCCTTGTCCGTGCCCTTGCGCACCGCCGATCACTCCCCGCCCTCGTCAGCGCCCGGGATGTTACACCGACAATATATCTCAACTCAAAACCTTAAAGCATTGAGTTCATGGGTCTTCCTACTTATATAGACTTCATTTAACCCATTATTAACCAATGTGGGACTTTATCATACTTGAATATGTCAACACCATTAATTAATTTATAGATATTTTTAATATTTTCAACATATTTCATTTTATGATTTTCATGAATACCTTTGATTTTGTTGATAGTATTAAAACCCAATCAACAAACATTCGTCTAAAAAATATAAAACAACTGTTTAAGTCTATGGTTAAAGGTGTGTAAAAGAACCAAAAAAATCGAACTGAACTATGAACCGAATTGAATTGCACTTAAAATGATTTTTTAAAACTAGTTCATAAACCGAATTTTTTTTTTTTTTTCTTTTTCTCTTCCTTTTTTATTTCTTTTATTTCTCTATTTTCCTTATTTATTTATTTATTTATTTAGTGGCTTCTCTTATTTTTATCTTTATTACTTTCTTTTTTCTTTTTTCTTTTTTCTTTTCTTTTCAGAATAGGTTCATCCCAAACTGATTCCGAACCAAACCAAACCATTTTCAAACTGAATTGAATCAGTTTAGGGTAAAAAAAAATTTGGTTCTTTGAACCAAATTGGTTTAAAAAAATTAGGTCCAGTTTTTAAAAAAATTCAATTCAATTCGACTCATGTCCACCAATGTTGTACTGTACATTTGTCTATTAATGCAGTATTACTGTATTATTATATTATAAAACATACCTAAAATTTATCTGTTACAATGGATATACCTTCGTTCATTAACAAAAGAATTGAAAGAGGATGAGCGTTTTAGTATTTCCGTATTATTCTGCACTAGATAGTATTTTCACTTTATTATAGTAATATATGTGAGACTTAGATGAGAATAACCATAAAAGTGGATAAAGTGAAAAAAGTCAATTACATTTTTTTTTTAAATTTAGTAAATGATATATTGAGTCTTCAGTACTATAGGAGTATGGAAAATATTTTCCCTATTTAGGCTCGCAAGTTTGCTTGTATTTTGGGCCAATCAATTTAGCCTGTTACTTACAAGGAGCAGGCCCAAAAGACTACAATTAACTTGTTTGCAAATCATATTCCTAACTATGGTCTCCTATGAATGAAATGTAAAAAAAAAAAAAAAAAAAAAAAAAAAAACAAATTTTTATGACTTCTTTTTTTTAAAATTAAAACTACTTTTACGTTTAGATGGAATATATAAAAATTAATTTTAAATAAAAAAATTTATTTACATGTTAAAATTTATAAGCACTTTTTATATATAAAACTAAGGACTTTATGTTTATCATGTGACATAATCTAATTCCATTTTCCTACACACACATCAAAGAGGTGGAGTCATATTTTTTTCTTCTCTTTCATCATTTCACTTTCTCTCTATTTTATTGTGTTAGTAGGAAAATCAAGTTGGGTTATGTAACATAATAATCATAAAACCCTAAAACTAAAGGTTCGCTTTGTCTGCAGTTACTGCAGATAAGTTATCTGCAGTAAGCCCAATACGACGTCGTTTTGGGAGGGAAATCACAGTGTTTTTGTAATTTTAATTTATTTCAGGATTATAATAGTCTTTATATTTATAATTTTTAAGATTTCAAAACCAAAACGACGTTGTTTTGGAATAAATGCAGATAACTTATCTGCATTAACTGCAGAAATATTTTTTCCTAAAACTAATAAAAAGGATATGTCAAGTTGGTGGCAACAAAGCACCCACACGCAGGTTTTTGAAAAAATTGCGTGTCGGACACGTGTCCGACACGTTCTGACACGCGGTCAATATTTTGTGACACGCGGTCAACGCTTCGACACGTTCCACGTTCCGACACATTTTTTCGACACGCAATCAACTTTTTCCGAAACGCAATCAACCATCCGACACGTTTTTTTTTTAGATCTTAATTTTATTTTATTAACTAAATATAAAAAAAAATTATAAATTAATTTTTTTCTGTTCTGAAATTTGGCATGAAAAATTAAAAAGGTACGAAAAATTATTTTTGTTTATATTTATGTTGTGAAATTTAAATATTTGATTGGTTATATGACTTATTATGGATTGTTATATGTATTAAATATAGATTATATTATATATATTAAAATATTATTTAATATCAAAACGTATCCCAACGTGTCAAAAAATGACATTTTTTAAAATTAACGTGTTTGCGTGTCGTGTCGTATCTCGTGTCAGTGCATCGTAAGATGGTGGTAATGGAATAGAATGGTTAGAGTAGAGTTAGGATAAAATTTAATTTTTAAAACAAATTTATTTTTCCCTTCTACTTTTTTCATAAGCAGAAATCCTAACTTCTAAAAAAATATTATTTTTAACTTTTTTTTAAATTCTATTTTTAAAAAAAAAAAATTACTATCCAAACTCATAAAATGACTAAAAAATCTTTAAAAAAAACAGCATTTTTTAGAAGAAAAAAGCCCATCCAAGTATTAAGGTCGCGTTTAGGATCCCCATTTTATTAGGTTCAAATTAAACAAAACAACAAATTTATCTAATTAGATATTTTATATTATTAATTTTTTGATGATTTTATGCATTAAGTAATAAATAAATAATATAATACCAAATTAGGTTTAAATTTGACACAATCCTCACATGAATTACAATTTTTAATTTAAAAAAATAATTATCTTCCATTTAAAAAAAATAAAATCTGTTGATAAATGAAAAATATTTAAAAACCCACAAAAAATAGCAGCAACCACAGCCATGGTTGATTCCAGTATTATTAAAATCGAATTTCATCAATTATATATATAATTATTTCATAAGCTGTTTTACGACCAAGCATACATCTAAAGAAACCAAGTTCGAGCTTGGTAGTTATATTAGTATTACAACCATACATTTAAAGATACTAAGTTCGACATTCAGCACACGCAATCATCCAACATTTTGCACCAAAAATTCAAAACCAGATCAGCTTCAAATCTGATACTGGTTTGATACCGGTCAAATCCGATTTATGAGTCTGATCCAATTTTAACAACCATGATTAATTCCATTACAGATAATTTCATTCTATCAGGAGCATATATGAAATCAAAAAAGCAAAAATTCTCAGTTTAACCTCCGCCGCTCTCTATTAAAAAAGAAAAGCATGCAAAAAAAATCAATTTCATTATTTTATTTTTCCTTTAAATGATACAATAATAATAACATTTGAACATTAAAATTTGAACCATCATTTTCTCTCAGCAAAACAGCATGACCTTTATCCATAACATTATTCAAATAAATTAGTCTATAAGCAAACCATAATAATGCACATGACGGAGCTGGATTCTTAGGAAAGTGTGGTATGGGCATGCCTATTATTATTACCAAACCAAAAGCATTTTAGAGGAAGTAGCCATATAGTTCCAGGTAACAAATGCAAAAGTTCCATGGGTTGGTGGCATCAGTAGTGGGTCCCGAGAGAACAACCCGGAAATACCTAAAGGGAAGCAAAGCATTGGGGCCAATTATAGGCCAAGATGCAAACTGACTAGGTTTGCATACTGTCTTATCATTTTCATGGACTCTCAACTTCGTCCAGCTCTTCCCGTCCAGTGAGCCCTGAAAATATCACATTAGTTAACCCTTTCCATATACATGAGACTGAATCCTCTAATGTATTATTTAATATAACCATATCATATGAGCCTCGAATAGTGGTACTGAAAGATCACTAGTTTGAATCTGGGAAATAGCATATTTGCAAATATGCAAGAGTAAAGTTGATCACCGTTAATTTGATAATAAATGGTTATTATCCTTTCAGATGACATGGTCATGTTAAATAACACATAAAAATATCTACCCTTATACATGCACAGTTACACACCCAGATACGTATATATACATACTCGAATAGAAGAGAAACACCACTCCTAGATCCTAGATAAGATGACAGAAACCATTCCCAGAACAAAGATTGTGTACCTGAATATTCCAAAATCTCGGGAAGGCCTTGGAACCGTCCTGCCTCAGAGTATAGTAGTTGCACATAAGCTGCATCCAATGATTTTCCTTTTTGAATCAGAATGCTGATTCCATACAACCAGTAATCATATACTCATATTGAGGCGCAATTCTACTTCAATTACTACCTTTGTTAAATGAGGTTGGAGGGTGGCAATAAAATCTTCAAACAAATAGTCTTACTATGCAGTCACGTGTAATTTTGTTGTTTTTCTAAAACTAAATATATAGCCGACCCCACATTGCAGGAAAAAGATTTTTTTTTATTGTTATTGTTATTGTCAAGGGAAGCGAACCGGAGCAGTGGTAAAGCTGTTCTCTCATGACTGAAATGTCATGGGTTCGAATCCAGAAAACGGCCTCTTTGCAATTATGCAAGAGTAAGGCTGCGTACAAGAATTTACCTCCACCTCACACTCGCTAGTCGGGTTTAACGGAGAGTGGTTTTTTTTTTTTATTGTTATTGTCATCTACAACATTCTCTCTCTCTCTCTCTCTCTCTCATCTACTTGCTTAAAGTGCATGATAAAAAGCATGCCAACGAACTACTACAAAATACGTCAAACGTACACATTCAGCATATTGTATACCTGATGATCTTGGCCAAGATCAACCATCCACCAGGTACAATTATGTCCATTTTCCAATCGAGGCCCAGCAAAACATGTTCCCTGTAATAGTCAAATGAAGTTTAATTACCATCCAATAAATTAAGAGTTCAATAGGAAATTACAGTTATAAAATTCAGTATACCTGGTAGGTTCTTGAGACCAAAACCTTGGGATCCGTGTATCTTGAGTTGGGACTGCTGGCTGTAATGGTAATTTTCTTTGGCTGCCACACATAATTTTTATGAAGAGATTGACCATCCATTAGCATCAAAATTCCTAAAAAAAAAGTGAAAGGGGAAAAATAAAGCAGAAATCTACCTCTGCTAAAAGAGGATTAACCCACGGGTGTTCACCATAGGATGTTCCAGCAAAGTACAGAACTCCATGGTCATCCCCATCACAAATGTACTGGAGCTCCCTGTAACTAGAACGTCTATGTTGGAATCTAATACTGCAAAGAAAGCCAAAGTAAGTTAACTCCTGTTGGACATGTGACGAAACTTTTTCTTTTTTTTTGAGAGAGAGAGAGAAATGAGAGGGAAAAGAAGAGGGCATCAGGGGAGGAAATAATAGGGAGAACAAACATAATAAATCAATAAAAATAATCTAAAAACATAAACTGAGAACAAAAAGCACATTGCAATCCTTTAAAGGCAAACCAACAACTCCTAATATGCCTAACTTGGTAGCAACTAAGCCCAATTCTGAATAGAACTCCTAATTTATTTAGTAAACCCTAAAGCAGCCAAGCAACTATTAAGTACCTAATGATATATGCTGAATCCATATAAGGCAGCCTAGTGCTATAAAGCACCCGCTGTACCCAAGGTCTATAATAGGCAGCCTTATCTTGCATTTGGATGCAAGAGGCTGATTATCCATATAAATGATATATTTCCACAACTCTAATATTCCTTTCCCATACGCAATATTCCTACTTCAAAATCCAGCAGCATGTTAGTTTTAATATCCGGAAGTACAAATATAATTCTTGATAGGATCTTTGAATAAAAAAATTTGTGACCTAATAAATGCGCCCTCTCTAGCAGTGTTTCAATTCTCGATAGGATCTTTAAATACAAAAATAGTGACCTAATAAGCAAATGCAAGTAGTGTCTGCACTAGAATATTTCCCCTCACAATGCACCCTAAAACTGTTACCCGGAGGCAGAAAATAAGGATAGTGTGTGTAGCTTGATCAAGAAAGAGATAGAGAGAGAGAGAAAATGTTTGAGTCATCAAATAGAGTAAGTAATCAAGTTTTCGTATGGAACTTGAAAAATAATGCCCTATATACATCCAAATGAGGATCATCCCCATAATATTATTGAAAAAGAATGAGAATAACCCGAAACTAATGAATCAGAATTCATAATACAGTAAAAAAAAGGATTACAGATTATTTTCACAACCAAATAAGCCATTGCTATCCATTACAGATACACTCTAAATTGTGAAAAATTACTCAAGTGCAAAGCATGACTTAATGCCCCCAGTGAAGAAGCTAGGGAGACAAACTAAGATGAAGAACTTACTTCTCTTCATTTCCAAGCCTTGCCAGTCCACATTTAACAAAATTGATAGCCTCATTAACCTGTAACAAATAAAATAACAGAACAATTACTCAGACAACATTTACAAAATCACATTACACTTTTTGCCTGAATTGAAATAAGACAGAAAACGTACAAGATTTTGGAAAACAGGAATATGACAGCCAATGTTGCTATTCTGCAACTGCACAGTAATTACAATGGTATAGTTAGAATAAGCAAATCCTATTCCTGTAAACTGCCCATAAGTGTCTGAGTGCAGAGCATACAAACCTTCTCAAGTAAGGAAAATTGTAGTAGTGGAAATCGCACAAACGGCAACAAGTTATAAACTAACTGAAGCCTCTCACCAAAAAGGAGTTCAGGTTTTGAATTTATCATCAACTGATCCACCATTTCCCACCCAAACAATCCTTTTGCCTTCATGCCAAACATTAGGATTGCATTAAGAACTTTCTCTTCAGATGTTACTGTCAGATCTGGATGCTGCAAAATCCAAATATAGATTGAGAAATAAACAGTCAAATGAGATAATATTACAAGAAGACCTACTATAGACAATTTGTTGATATATAGTAAATTATATAAACTAATATCGAGGGGATTTTTAGCTTTGGCTTTTAGCTCTATAGAAATTTAGACTTTCAGATGTGTGAAAAAATATCTGCAGTTCTCAGATCAAGCAACTCAGGTCCCGTCCACATTGCAGGTGAAGAATTCACTAAAATCCTGCTTTTAACTTAAACGATATATATCTCCATATAATATAACAAAATCCATTATAGTTTATGCCCCCTTCCCCACAAAACTTTTTTGCTTTACATTTAAGCCAATGGATATGCAGGCCTCTTTAGAAGATCTTGTGTTAAGCAGTTTTATTCCTTGGATTTATCATCAAATTCAACAAACTGAGTAACTTGGAGAGAGACACACCTTAATGATATTGATGAAAGATGTCTCATCTAACAAAACAAAGTCAGTGCTCGCACTGATACAATAGTCAAAGTTCAAGGAAATTCTCCTCTGCAATGTTTCTTTAATAAGTCTACATGATGGGATTGAAGAAACCACTTGGAGGAGTGGACATACTGAGTCCTGCAACAAAGTTCAACAGTTAGCTTCAAAAGGGACGGCATTATTAGTTGCCAAAATTGTCTGCTTCCTCCTCCATTAAATTTGTGTATAATAGAAAAACTCTGTTGTATGACCTTCACCCAATAGAAGAACTTCATCCCTGCATATAATATGTAGACGATCTTAGAATTGGTTATTATAAAATGGATCTCTTCTTTTGTTTTCATAAGTCCAACACTGCAACTCTCTTCTCCGATCAGTTAATTCAAGTGGCACCCACAGGACAAATGATTCTATCTTCCTAGTAAGTACTGATTTCTGTTGTGAGTTAAGTTTACCAAACTACCTCTGAGAGGCATTCTAAAAGCATTTTGCAGCATTCTTGGTGAAGAGACGTTACTCCAAATTGATCAGCCAATAAAAGAAGTTGGAGCAACAAAGCACCAGAATCTATAATTCCATCATTCAATTGCCCTTCATATAAAAAGTCAAGCATAGCCTTGAAAGCTTCTGGCGGCACATCCCTTAAAGTAATCTCTGAAGACGTGCTTTCACTCATTCCATTTGTGAACATCTGGCAAAATAACAAGATCTTTAACTAACAGCTTACAAAAATACACAACCATCACTTAAAAATATATTACCAAACATCAAATGAGTATTACTTGCATAAAGAGAAATTTAAGTCACATACAGATAAGGTAAATACTTGTTTCTGGACAATATGCTGACTTGCATTGCAATGACACAAGTAGTAAATATTGGAATTTGAAATTTACAATGGTATTGAGGCACTAATTGATCAACATCACACAAGTCACAGGATTAAATCTGTAACAGGGCATGCTGAATACATCATCTCAATGCTAAACATGACAATTGTTCTGTTAACCTGACCAAATTTCCTAGTTGTTCCTTAGACCTTAGGATGCAAAGTTGTAAACAACGTATAACTTAGATATTTCAGGCCCTGCCCATTCTAGAAGTAATTTTAGGATATTTAGAAGCATAATTTCAAGGTTTTGTTGGATATATAGTCCATCACTTTTGAACTGAACTCCCATATAATTTAGCTCATCTAAACTAATACTTCCTCCATAAAAGTAGAAGCTTAATGCTTAGGTGCATAAATCTTCCTTGTTACCAATCATCAAAAACCACCACCCAAAGGGAGGGGTAGGCAGCTTACATTAAATCAGATAAAAGACTGTGACATTGGCTCACCTTGGCAAAGGGGATACTCCACAAGCTGAGAACAATTTTATGTGCATGTGCAACAAGGCCATAACTATCAATGTAGATGTTTACATCACTGTACTGGCCCGTCAATTTCAATTGTCTCAGTCTCTGAATGCTGACAGGAAGTGAGGGCAGGGTTGAACAATGAGGTCGGATAGACGGATATGTTAACTCCACATTCTTGTCCTTATCAAACAACTTATTATCTAGCTTGAACCGTTCCATAATCTCTTCACATTGCTTCACCAGTGGCATCACTTCAAACTGTAAACTTAAATCCCTCAAAGACCCAAGTTGTTCCTGTGGAATCTACATGATACAAAAACACAACACAAACTACCTTGAGAATATAAATATCTAATACAACAACAAAACAACAAATCATTTAGTGAAAAAGAAAAGCAAACATTAATATGAACAGAAATTGAGCCGTACCCGGGTCCAACCAGTGTAGATATAGTGAAGCAGTGCATGGAGAACAAGATAAGACACTGTGGGTAGTGTGATGACAAAGGACGAGGAGCAGAAAGTGAAGTTTCCAGAAGAAGCTAAAATTGCCTTGTGAGCAGGAACAGGTCTTTCTTCTATACCAACAATAAATAACATATCAGATAACTCCCAACTCTCGAGAAAATTCCTAAGCCCCCATTTGTCATAATCCATCTCTTTATCTCCCAAATCAGCAGCAGCAGCAGCAGCATCCTCAACTTGATAATCACCAAAAACCACATGCTTCCACAAGGGAACATGAGCGTGTGTTAATGACAAGACATTAACATTCCTATACCTAACATGTTTATCCCAGCTACTGAGCCCAATATACAGAACATTACATTTGGGATGAGAATCCAACCACTGAAACACAACATCATGAAAAGGGTATTTCCCATTACCTATACTAATCAACCCATCGTAGATACTAACCCAATAACTCTGAAAAGAGGAAGAACAGCAAAGTCCAACACCTGCCACGTCAACAACGGTTTTCCCATTCACCTCAATTCTAAGTCTTCGATTCCTGTGACTCCCCAATATGATTGTGTAATGAGGACTGCTATCTCTTTTATAATGGTACCCTTGGCTTCCCACATTCTCTCGAAAAACCAGCGTCACATCGTTGCACGCAAACGCTTCAAAAGCCACGCAACCACGACCTGCTTCTCTGAACTTCAAATCCTCTCGCCACGCGCACTCAAATGGCGGCACAGTCACGAACTTCTCCATCATCTTTTATTCTCTAACCTGTGAGAAAGTGTGTGTGTGTCTGAGTTTGCGTGTTATTTAAATTTATTTAAATAGTCAATAACACAGATGATCATTTACGAAAAAATATCACTATCACAAAGACAAAATAGATAACCAGAAGCAGTTACTAGAAGATTTTCGAGTTGAGCTCAAATGATGAATAGAAGATAGACATAGAACTAGAAAGGGAATAATAATAATAATAATAATAATAATAGGGCTAATGGATCTGAAACCTAGGCCACATCCTTATCCAAGAAAGTAGAGAAGAGAATTATGAAATATCTATGCTGAGTAAGATCCTCGTAAGGAAGATAAAATGATTTGGAAGAGACAAGGAAATGAATCGAAAACAGCTAAGGTTGTCATCTTGTGCGTATCTTTGATTGATTGGACACTTGGTGGGACCATCCTCGTCAGCTAATCGCAAGGACCACACTTTCAAAAAAAAATATTGATGTTTGTAAAATTAACGTTACCTTATCGATATATTTATGAGTCAATCGGTGTTTCCTTCCATGGATCTTTGATTTGGTGGGTGGTGGCACTGTAAGCGTCACCTTGAGTTGTTCTGGATCTTTCCCTGTCTTTGTACTCACACACACACCACCCACCAAAACAAAATTCTTTTTTTTTTTTTTCTTAAACTTATGCTTGAAGATTGGGTTACCCTAGTCTTTTATTATTATTTAACATTATTGCTTACCTTTTATTATCAATTGTATTTAACTTTATCCAATATTGTTAGATAAAAAAAATGAGTTAAATTAAAAATGAGTTAAATTCCGTAAAGAACTTTGGTATACACCACTATAAAAGCTAGCTCGAAAGGTGGGAGTGCTCAAGGCCTTATAAACTCCACATGCACATACAACTAATGTGGGATTATATATCTCAACACGCTCCCTCACACAAGAGCCCATTAGACTTGAAGAGTGGACAATGCAACAGACCCAACCTACTTGTACTAAGAAACGCCACAAGAGAAAGTAGGAGGGCGACGAGAGTAGGCACCAAAAACAAGTCCAGGGGACACCAATTTGAATTTATCGAAAAAAAAAGTAGGCACCAAAAAAAATAGATAAAATATCTTATCTCTTCTAACATATAAACCTGAATGTAATTTATGTTAAGAGGGAAAAAAATTAAGGTTATATTTGAATATTGTTTTTAAAAATAATTTTTTGATTTTCAGAACAAAAATATTCGTTTGATAAAATAGGTTTTGTAAGAAAAAAAATTAAAAATTATAACTATTTTTTTTGCTTATTAGAATCAAATTTATAAAATATGTTTGGGATGTTTTTGTTTTATTTTTTGACTTTTAACTTTCAAAATAAACAAAAATAAACATAACAAATATTAGTTTTCATTATTATTTTACAAAATAATTTTAAAAATAAAAAAATTTAGAACACAATCAAACAAACCACTTTTTGCATGTAGTTTCAAGAGTTAGGGAATTATCGGTGTAATTTTTTTATAGATAAATTGTTTGAATTATTCAACGCATAGATCAGATTTTTTGTTTTTTGTACGACATTTGTTTCAATTGATGCTAGCAAAGTAATTAAAAAAAAAAATGTCACGATTTGAAGAACTAATGAAAATGTTACGAATTTTTGTTCTTCTTTAGGGTCGGGGATCATATATGCCAATGTACTTGCGCAATCTGCATTTCTTGGTCTTCGATCATAATTTTTAAGATAATGAAGTTTGTACTGTGTTTCAACTTGAGCTAATGTGTTTCGAGGATCTTAAGATAGGAACAATGGTTGTTACTGTTAGGAACATTCTACTGAAAGGAAAGGGCAACATGTAGAGGGTACCTACCCATCAAATAATTAATTGACCTTAATAAATTCAAAAGATTTATAGCCATGAAAAAACTCATGTTCTTTGATCTTGATGATCTTATCCTATGATGACCATAATGCTTTGGCAGAATTGTTGCAAAAGAAGAAAGTAACGACGAATTAAAAAATTTGCTAACAAAGCTCTCATTAACATAACTACGCAAATCAGGGAAGGGTCCTCACGGTTCCTTCAAGTGCTCAAGGACATAAACTCAACCATGGTTGATGAATCCCTCTCCAGCTAAGTATTACTTACATCAAATCTAGATGAGCGGCACAAACACTATGTTGCGGGTATGATGACCCCAAGTTCAGACGGAGGTAATCGGGCTTGCTCTTCGGTGGGCTAATCAGTAGCTATCGGGCCACTAGACTGAGGAACAGGGGCCGAGAGAGGCCCAAAAGGTATATCAAGAAGCCCAGCTATTTGCCTTATTATCAACCCAAGTGAAATAGGAAAATCTAAATAATTTCATATGTTAATTTTTTATTCTATTTTATTGTTGGGATCTAGATGGGTCAAACGGCTTATAAGGAGTATAATATTTTTAGTAAAATAAAACATGTTCAAGTCTTAAAAAAGCTTATCAACCTATTTTTATAAAGTCTGACCTATTATTATTGGTCTTCAAGTCAGGTTATATTGTACTATTTATTTTAATTAAAATAAAATAAAATAATTATTTATATAATTTTAATTGATAAAAAATATTATTTATATAATTTTTTAATTCTTATTAAGTATTGAAAACTTAATTGGCTTAAACAGATTAATAAATTTAAGTTAGGTCTTTTAATTTTAAATATAGGTCAGGCTCAAAACAGATTAATACATATAACAGTTCATAATAAGTTATATAATCAAACAAATATTCAAATTTCATAAACATAAATATAAATAAAAAAATAATTTTTCAGGTCAAATTTCATAACAGAAAATATTTGATTTATAAATTAATTTTTCGTTTTTAGTTAAAAAAAATAAAATAAAATACAATTAGGATATAAAAAAAAAGTGTCGAAAAACATTGACCGTGTGTCGGAAGCGTGTCAAAAAATGTTGATCGCGTGTCGGAAGTGTGTCAGAGTATTCACCGCGTATCGAAAAATGTTGATCACATGTCCGAAGTGTGTCAGAGTGTTGACTGTATGTCGAAAAATGTTGATCACATATCGGACGCGTATCGAAACGTGTTAGACACTAACACGTGTTCGACATGCATTTTTTTTCTTCTAAAAGTGTGTGTCCGCTTCAGAGGCTATCATAACTACTTAACTAGCCTCTTAAAAGACTTTATATTACTTAAATTACTTATTGACATGTAATTACATATATAAGAAAGAAAGTGTGAAAAATAGTTTAAATAAACAAAAAAAATTAAGAATCCTTAGGAATTTGGCTTCCATTAGAGAAAATGAATCGAGTGTGTCAACAATTTTTGCAAAAGTTCTTTTTTGAGCACAAAGTATATTTTCATACAAACTTTTATGTATGATATATTTATATAAATAAATGTCCAACCTATAACATAACAACTATAACAAATATATATATTCTAGCAAACACAACATAAATTTGAAAATGGGTCAATAAGAATTTAAAAATATTTAATAAAATTTAGGTCTGAGATTGGGTCAATAACATCTCTCTTCCTTGGTCAATAATCCCCTACGTTGGGTTCTTAACTTTGATATGCTAGCAATGTCAAAATAAAATGGTATTATGATAATCAAACAAAGTTAAGCATGAAATGGATAAAAGCATTTGAAATTGGGGAAAAGGATTTTACAAGGAAATGTCACAAGAGGATAGGTTAATGTTGTCTCTGCACAAAGGAGGAGGAGCATCATGTGCTAGACGAATTTTTTTTCCTCAAACTGCTGGGTTATGTTAGACAGCACCATTACTTGGGGGAGCACTTCAGCACTAACTCATTCCATCGAAGAATCTCAACAACTCACTCTCCATTATTTGGTTAGCCGAACACGACCCACCACTTGAACATGTTAGGAAATATATAAAAAGAAAGCACCAGAAAAGCAAGAGGAGGAAGAATAGAAAAGAAAGAAGCAATACTAAGGAGAAGGTGTAAGAGACAGGTGCCATAGCACTTAGTTGAAATACAAAGAAAGGATGGATCCTATTACTTTGCTGTCTAGGAATCAATTTTTTCTTTTCCTATACGTGAAGTGTTTTGGGGGTTCGACTATTTTGTTTCGGAAGAAATCAGAGCCATTTTTTTATCAGGAGAGACATCATAGGAGAAATAGTAGGAGATGGAAATAAAAATAAGAGGAAAACTTTATGAAGAAAAAAATAGAGACACAGTCGATCATGTGAACTTGCTTACTTTTAGCAAACAAACCTCATTGGGCTCTGCACTCTATAATGTGATCCATTTCTGACTCGAAATGGTATTAAGCACGTGATACTAAAAAAGTTCAAGAAAAATAATTCCTTGTAAAAGATATGACCAAATAGTCTATTTTACATTATCCATTGTTAAGCCGTTTAAACCTAGGCAAGTTCTTTCACATATCCTAACATCAATAGTTTAATCCCAGATACACTCCTTACCTTGAGAGAAAAAAGATCATATAAAAAAAGGGTTATGGTATTAGTTCAAATTGAAAATTATGCATATAAAATATGTTGAAATGGAAGGTGAAAAAGAGGCAAGATACAAAAAGAAAAGGAAGGATGAGAAAGAAGTGAGAAGAATACAATCCTCTTTGCAAACAAAAGTAAAAAAAAAAGAATACAAAATTAAAGTCTTAAGAAGGAGGGGGAGGCAAAGAAAATTGAAAAGAGTATGGCACAAAAGAAGAAAGAAAAACTTTAAAAAAGAAAAAAAAAGGAGGATCAAGTAATGCACCCAAATAAAAGTTTTATAAAGAAGCTAAATATTGTGCATTGAGACATAATGTCTTACAATATTCTTTATTCTCCATTAGCCATGTCAATAAAAAAAAAATCTTCGCTATTACTCTAACCATGTGATGACCTTTAGAAGATGTTTTGATTGATTTTTTGCACATGTAGTAGTATACTTGTTGAGGACTATAATAAGTTCAATAGATGTAAACATATTTATTTGGATCCATATAAGCTGGAGTTCAATAACTTGCATATTAACTTTAGGGTTTTTCTAAGTTAGAGGTAGCATTTTTCAGCATTCCAAACTTGATGTTTCTTTGCATAATACTTCGAGCAACTTAAACACTCTCTACTCTCTTAAATCAATAACCTCCAACACTTGGTTTTGCTCTCTAATTCTTTCTTATTGCTCTTAATTCCTTGTTATATTCAAAGCTCATAGATGTTCTTGTCACTTTGTTAATTCATTATATTTTTTATATGTCTCCATCATACATATTTAATCTTCACACATGGTTGATGTTTTTTTGGCTCTTCATCAAAGTTCTTATATTTTGTTGTTGTCTCATTAATATCAACAAAACAAATATAATTCTCCATCTTTTATGATGACATAATAAATATTGTATAACAATACTTCTACTAAAAATGAGAGTAATCTATTTCCATTAGCACTTGAAAATATTATATACATCACATTTATGCATTACAATATTATAAACTAAATGTGACATTTTGTAAATGTTTTTTTTTTTTTTTTATAACAACATTTTGTAAATGTTTTAAGTAGAATACAACATTGATTACGAAAAAGAAGAAGAAGTAGAATACAACATTAGGTAAAAGTTTCATTCTTTTAGTAGAATAAGACTTTTTTTTTTTGGTAAATAGAATAAGACATTTTAAGTATACTAAGGTGATTCGAAGAACATAACAATCATTTATTAAGAATAAGAAATAATATCACTTGTCATTTAACAATAAAGCATGGAATTTATTAATTAAGAGCATATCAAATCAATTACCATAATCAAATATCATCAAATAGATTACAAGGCAAATACACATTTTATAATTTTATCATTGTAAAAAAAATTGTTTGTCCCTTTCTCCTATATTTATTTATTCATCACTTAATATGCTTAAAGTTTTATTTTAAAAATGAGAAATAACTTCTTGATTTAATAAAAAATTAATTTTATCAAATTAAACTAAATGGAATTAAATAATAAAAATAGAATAAATTGGGAAAAATTTATACCAAAATATCACTTTGGTACAAATAAGTTTGATCAATAAATTTTATTAATAAAATTACATAAAAAATTTATCTGTAAATTTTCGTTTTTATCACGAAACCAACTAAAATAACATAAAGTGTATTTTATCTGTACCAGTTGCGATTTGTTGTGGGTCCAGCTCGGACACAGTTCGCAACTGCCCTGCACACTCTCTCTACCTCGTATTCGTATATTGTAATGAAAGTCCTCAGCCTCGAAAATATCATCTCGTAACGCTTTTGTTCAGACTTTAGAGCACACGTTTCAAGGACTTCTCATTTTATCAGATGTGTCAAGCTATTATGGTCTACGATTCTACGTCATCTGGTTCCATTCACTGCATCCTTATATTGGAGAATTTTAAGTATTTCAAGAATAATTCTGGCTGTGATAATTGAATTTAAATTTTATTATATAGAATTTTAAATTTATCTCAACAACATGCATAATTATATTATGAAATTAATGTTTCTTATATTATTTTATCTTATATACATCTAAAAATATGGGAGATTCATATTTTTTTTCTTTTTTTCTTCACATGGACTTCTCACACTTTATATATTTATAAGAGATAAGATTATCTCATACAACATAAAAAATACTAATCTCATATATTTTATTTCTTACATAATCCTATAATATATGAGATTAACGTTTCATGTTTCTCAAGTTATAAGAGATAATTTAATCTCTTATACATGCAAAAAGTGTATGAGCTCATATATTTTTTTGTCTTTTCTCTTTATATGACTTTATATAAATTTCACATATTTTTATGTATATATTATCTTTTATCATATAAAACATTAATCTCCTATTATATATGGACTTTATTTTTTTCGAGAAATTTTTCTACACATATATATTTAAGATGAGTCCTACCATTAAAAAATAAAATAAAATACGTAAATAAAATAAAATAAATCGATGTATAAGTTACATAAAAAATAGTTTCTCCAACAAATATAAAAAAGTAGTTCTCCATTATATATATCCATTATCTAGCAGGTTGCAGAATTATATTAAGCGCATAGCCGTACGAGCTAGCAGAAAACACAAAAAGTCAGATAAGGAAATATGAACGCCTGACGTTCTCATATTATTCTACTACTTTCCCAACCCAATCCAGATGCTATTATTTATTAACTAGAAGTGACGATTATCATAATATTATTTAATTTTTTATTCGCGTAGATATTTTTTCTTTTTCATTTGAGTTTAATCTTTTATTTCTTATTGTAATGATAAATTTATAATAATGAGGATGATTTTAGCACCTTAACCTGTATGTATTAATAAATAATGAAATTTCTTAGATATCGCCAAAAAGTTATTGGAAAAATATTTTTTCATGTTATGATTTTTTGATTTAAGTGCAAAAAAAATTTTATTTTTATTTTTTTAATAAATATTGAACTCACCACTAATTGAGTCATAACATGATAATTTAATTCTCATGTAACATGAGAAAATCAAACCGAAAGTTATTATTATCAAATCTCACTCTCTCACTTTTCGTTAATAACTATGTCCAATTCATGTCAGTATAAAAGTAGAAAATTCAATATATATAATGTTATGTGAATTTTCCAATATACATTTTTAAGATTTTTTTATTATAAAATTCATAGAAAAGAATTCTGCGACCATGTTTGAATCCCAAACCATGTGCGATTGTGCATCCGTATTATTTTGAGATATCCGCATTATGAATATAATTTTTTGTTCGGTAAAAATATAATCTATTTACTTATTCAATCAATGTCTTTATTTTTGGATTTTAGTAAATTCAATCTAAATTGATGGAATTTTTTTTACATTATTATAAATATAAATTGTAATAATTTCGTCACGAATTATAAACAACAGTTTATATTTTACACTTCAATTTAAGAAAAGATATTTATACATTATAAAACTTTAATTATCTTTACATCAATTTTTTAAATCATAAATAAAAATATATTTTGACAATTTTTTCATTTTTAAATTTAGATAAATAAAATTTAATATTAGTATAAAAACTTGATGTATAATTATAAAAAAAATTTCTCCCTCACCAAAAAAAAAATAATTTTTTTCTCTAGTTATGTATTGAAAATTATGTTATTATTTTATATTATAATCTTTTTAATATTTCATTTTGACGCAAATTGATTTGAGTGATAAAAGAGTTTTATTTTTTTTTAAAAAAAAAAGTCAAATTAAACAATTTTTAAAACAACTATTAATAGTAGTGTAACCAAAAAAAAAAAAAAAAAAGTAAAGGGGAAAAAAAGGTAGTGAAGACAAATGTTACGAGAAAATCGTTGAAATGAATAAAGAATATACTTAAAGAGGATAAGCACTGAAACAGGAAACCAATTATAAAATTGTGCCCACAGACTTTGTGTTTGCCACACAAAATTCATCTCTATCTTCTCTGCAGAGCCACGAAGAAGCCATGGATCCCTACAAGGTAACCTTCTTCGCTTTTCTTTCACATTAGATTCCTCAAACATCAAACATCTCCTTCATCCTTATTTAACTTTAGATTTTAAAGAGAACTGTTATATCCTTTGTGTTCGCTTTTAACACGTAAATCAAGTATATGTGTTCGTTAATTGGGTAGATTTTTGTTTGCTTTCACTTATGAAGATTTTAACTGATTCCTGATGCAGCACCGTCCATCAAGTGCGTTCAATTCTCCGTTCTGGACCACTAATTCTGGTGCTCCTGTTTGGAACAATAACTCATCGCTAACCGTTGGATCTCGAGGTATCAGTTATCTATATGCTATTGAAAATTTGAAACAGAGTAAATTGATTTTTGATTTTGATTTTGTGGTTGTGAATTAGGAATAATGAATTTTTTGTTTTGTTTTGGCAGGTCCAATTCTTCTGGAGGATTATCATCTAGTGGAGAAGCTTGCAAACTTTGACAGGGAAAGGATCCCAGAACGTGTTGTTCATGCCAGGGGAGCTAGTGCAAAGGGTTTCTTTGAAGTCACACATGACATTTCTCACCTCACTTGCGCTGATTTCCTTAGAGCCCCTGGTGTTCAGACACCTCTCATTGTCCGTTTCTCAACTGTTATCCATGAACGTGGTAGCCCTGAAACCTTGAGGGACCCTCGAGGTTTTGCTGTCAAGTTTTACACTAGAGAGGTCAGCATAGCACATCGTTTGTTTAGTAGGAAAATGATCGATTTGTGATGTTGTAATCTTAGGAGACGTTTGGTACAAGGATAGGATTTTTTTTTAGATTCCCAAAATGACACTGAGAATCCTATTTACCCACATTTGGTACAAGGATTCTAATTTTTTTTTCCGGAAATCTGATTTTTCTAGGATAATGATTTGTGAATACTTTTTAAGGCAAAATGCCATCCAAGAATACCCAAGAGGTGGGAAAATATTTTGGCCTCTGCGCCACTAGTGCGTTGATGGCACCACTTGCGCCAAGTCTCCAAGCAATATTTTCTTCCCGCATCAATAGCGCGGTGATGGCGCTAGACTAGCGCCAGTGGTGCAGTTTTAAAATCACCGTATATTACCAGTAATATTTGACAATCAACCAAACATAGAATCACGAAACTTGAGTCAACATTCCTAGTAATATTTTGACCTATCAAACAGCTTTTTGGTCATATTTCCGAAAAATTCACTTTCTCATCATATTCCTGGTAATCGTGATTTCCAAGTATAAAAGTTTTTCTCTTCTACCAAATATCCTCTTACACTCTTTTTTAGTTAATATAGTAATATAGTACATATAGAGAGGAGGAGAATCTTTTGACTCTGGTATAAGATTAAGAAGTCTTATTTCTCATCTTAGCTATTGATTTTTGTTCATCTGGTGACGGTAATTTATTAATGGTTTTAATTTATTAGTGATGTGCTCATATTTAATTATTCTAATTTATTAGTCATGTGAGCTCTTAGATACTTTAAGTATGAGATTAAAGACTAAAATTACTTGCGTTTAATGTTTCTAATTTATTAGTCATGTGAGCAGTTAGATACTAAGTATGGGATTAAAGAGTAAAATTGGGCATAAAACTTGTTATTCTTATATCAATTTAAGTTGGTTCTCTCCTTATTTTTGTTAATATCCAATTATCTTGAACTGAACGTTTTAGTTTAGTTTATGATATGATGATAATTTTGTAGGGTAACTTCGACCTTGTGGGAAATAACTTTCCTGTGTTCTTCGTCCGAGATGGGATGAAGTTTCCTGATATGGTCCATGCTCTGAAACCCAATCCAAAGTCCCACATCCAGGAGAATTGGAGGATCCTTGATTTCTTCTCCCACCATCCGGAAAGCCTTCACATGTTCACCTTCTTATTTGATGATGTAGGTGTCCCTCAAGATTACAGGCATATGGATGGTTTTGGTGTTAACACATACACCCTTATCAACAAGGCTGGGAAAGCACACTATGTCAAATTTCACTGGATACCCACCTGTGGTGTGAAGTGTCTATTGGAGGAGGAGGCCATTAGGGTTGGAGGGTCCAACCACAGCCATGCTACCCAAGACCTTTCTGATTCAATTGCTGCTGGGAACTATCCTGAGTGGAAACTTTATGTCCAAATAATAGATCCGGACCATGAAGACAGATTTGATTTTGACCCACTTGATGTAACTAAGACTTGGCCCGAGGACATTATTCCGCTGCAGCCAGTTGGTCGCATGGTCTTGAATAAGAACATAGACAACTTCTTTGCTGAGAATGAACAACTTGCATTTTGCCCAGCCATTATCGTGCCTGGTGTATACTACTCAGATGATAAGATGCTTCAGACTCGGATATTCTCCTATTCTGATAGTCAGAGACATAGACTTGGACCAAATTATCTGCAGCTTCCTGCTAATGCTCCCAAGTGTGCCCATCACAACAATCACCATGAGGGCTTCATGAATTTCATGCACAGGGATGAAGAGGTATATTAATTTTTTTTTCTCTGTATAAGAAACTGGTTAATGACGTGATGGCATTGAATTATACATTTTGCATGCTAATTGGGCCTTAACTCTTACTGTCATATTGCAACTTATCCTTTAGTTGTATACTTTTTTCTTTTTATTTTTTCATAATGACTGAATGCTACTGATTTATAGGTCAATTACTTCCCTTCAAGGTATGACTCTGTTCGACATGCTGAAAGGTTCCCCATTCCTCCAGCTATCTATAGTGGGAAGCGTGAAAAGGTTAGTTCTATCAATTGCTTATTGGTGAAGATATAGAACGTCTGATAGTGAATGAATCTACCTTCCATAGGTTTCAATTTATAATTTAGATTGCATTAGTTCATTTCAGGTGTTCCAATATTTCTGAAGGCAATGAGAATTAGACAGAAAATATCTTTGTTAGACATGTTCTTATTTAATCAGTGATAAAAAAATGTCATGTCACAAATATAATGAAAATTTTATCTGACAACTAAGGAAACAAAAGTAGATCCAATACATTGGCAAGTTAAATAGCTCTAAATTGTTAATAAAGCTTGTAAATTTGTGTTTATTTTTAGTATTACTTTTGCATAGAAGAGATTACTGATTAATGTTTCTATTAGACATTTGTAAGATCTTGAACAAAAAAAATAATGGTTGTAAAATTGTTGAAAGTTGCTTTTATTAGGGCAAGAATGTGCTAAACAATTCTTGCTTAATGCAGTGCATAATTGAGAAGGAGAACGACTTCAAGCAACCCGGAGAGAGATACCGGTCCTGGGCACCTGACAGGTTCCTGTTATAAACTAATGATATGATCAATATGAAATATGTTTGGTGATGTCTAAAGGTGAGCTGTCTTTTTCTGTTTTCTTATTTCTTTTCAGGCAAGAAAGATTTGTCCGCCGATGGGTTGAGGCTTTATCTGACAAAAATGTCACCCATGAAATCCGTAGCATCTGGATATCATACTGGTCTCAGGTGAGATTTTTACATATGCTAATTTGTCATTGTAAACTATAGGCTTAAGTGTCCCCTTCACGCATTTCATGTGGTAAAAGTTGAGGGACATTAAAGAGAGTCCAGTAGTTTGATTCCCAGCATTGCTCCTATCCCCTTCCCCTTCCTCATACCCCTTTCCCCTCCCTGTGGGTCCCTTGTTCATAGCCAAGAGTGTCAAATGAATCTGCATTTGTGTGCTTATGTGATGTTATTGGATGGTGTTATTGCTGTGCAGGCTGACCGTTCTCTTGGACAAAAGATAGCATCTCATCTGAACATGAGGCCAAGCATCTAAGATTGGTGGTGGCAACCCCAGCTTGATTGTAAGAGTTGCAGATGAGCAAAGAGTGAGAAATGTCTGTTAGTCTGATATTTGAAAGGATTAGTCCTTTTATTACAGTTCTATATTGTATATCAATTATTTCACGCATCCAACTTTCTTGACGTGTCTCGTCTTAATATATGTCTTGGTGATAAGGATGAAGATGTGAACGTCCCATGATTCTCTATTCACCTTTGGTTAAGGCTTCGTTTATATTTCAAATAATCTTTTGTTATCATTTATCTCTCTGTTACTACTCCGTCTCTTTGAGGCAAGTGATCTAATAGACTAAATAACGTTACAGAAAATTCATGTTTTTCTTCCACCACAGGGATTGCCTGTACGTGATTATCAATGGAACCCACACACTCAGTGAGACCCATATAGATTTAATGGAAAATACTTGTTACATATCACTTTTTTTGGTCTTACGTCAGTGAGGTGACAGAATCAAAGTGGAGATATGTTAAAATTCTAATGGAATCAATCAAATGGTAAAAACTACACTCATGTGAGGTGATATGTGTGAATATGTGAGAAAGTGTGTACGGGCAACATTCCTCGAATTTGATGGTAGTAATTTGAATGGAGGAAGAAAAAGCTTCCGTCGGCTATCAGCAATAATAACGCATATATAGCACCACCAGAAGAATATGTGCTAAACATTACACCCACCCTTCCATGTCTTCTGTCAACTTGAAACAAAGAGCCAGGGGGAAAAAGTTGAAAATTTTGGCTTCCTTATTTATACACTTAAACCATTTTTCTTCCTTTTTGTGAGTGTGTTGGTACACAGAACAAAGTAAGATTCTCGGGCATCAATAAACAACTAGATAGAATACAAAAACTAAAAAGGTTTTAAAAAATACAATGTCGGTCGGTACTTAGGAAAACCAATCACGTGTGTTAAACTATAGATTTGGCAAAGGAAAACCACCTTCATTTTCAGTGACTCGTCTCAGTTATTTTCACATGTAAATCAAATAGGTGCTTCTGCATGAACTCAACAAGTAATTGAAAATCCACCTCTTCCCAACCATTCTCATTTAGTTGAAATGACATAAAACAAGCTATTGGTGACTCATGAATTCTTAAGTACAACAAGCATAAATTAATGTTTATTGCAATTAATCAATCACAAGAATGATTTTTCAATACAGGTATGGCAAACAGTTTATTTTTACAATTGCCATGACCATGAATTTTTCTAAAGCAATAACACTTAACTTGCAAAATAGGCAAGTTTGTAGCTTACACTTATTGAACTGATAAGGAAACCTATACCCAAAATCATAGAGACAGGTTGAAATCAATCTAGAATCTGATTCCTCTGAAAATTTGGTTTATACCCATTTCTGATCGTGGTTCAGGGATACTCTAAGAAGCCAGGTACTCCAGTGCAACAACAATATCACGAATATGCGGACGAAAATTTGGTTGTTCCTGGAGACACATTGCAGTAATAGCAATTGCATGGTGCAAACGGCGTAAGGGGTAGTTTCCTTGCAGAAGAGGGTCAACCATTTGCGAAAACTTTCTCCGGTCACTTAAAAATGGGCGAGCCTGGAAATCACGCACATAAAGTTTAAGAAATAAAATTTATTACAAATGAAGAAGTTGAATATAGATTAAAAACTAGGGGTGTGAAATAAAACAAAATAAACAAAACTGGATTAGAGTTATATTGACAAATTTTTTATTTTTTATTTATAAACTACACTATTTCTTACGAGTAAGACTTCACTTAAGAGTATCTTACCAGTAAGATATAGTATAATTTATAAATAAAAAAATTATAAATATAATATTTCCTACTAAATTGAGCTGTTAACTTATTCAAAACATACTAAAAGAACTATAATATTTTAACTAAACTATTTTATACGAATTCGTTCAAGATTGAACTGGTTTTTCAAACCGAAACGGTCTAAGAAGCAAATCATGTTACCAATTTGGTTTGGTTAGAGCTAAAAATTGCACCGAGTCATTTTCTCAAAATTGGTCCAAAAACCGAATCACTTTTACAACCGGCTTGGTTCAGTTTGTAGACACCTGTATTAAAAACTGTCATCTAAAAAGCTTAAGACGTATGGGTATGCCAAAAAATCCCACGAAAGGATTATTATGGTTTAAAGAGGGCAGACTACTTTCCTAAGGAAACATTCTCTACTCTCACGGAGTGTTTGGTGGAGGAGATGTTTTTTTTATCAGTCAAAAAAATTTGTCTGGAACATGGTGAGGAAAATTTATAGCTGGGTGAGATAAGAAAAAGTGTTTGGTTGGCCAAAATTTATTGCTGGATGGTAAAGTTACCTATTGATATCATGTGTAAAATTATTATCTATCAAAAAAAATTTGCCAACCACTTTTTTATTTCACTCCTACCAAATATAGCTAAATTATTTTCCTCACCCGACTCTTCTTGGGCAATTTTTTTTTCCTCCTACCAAACACCCGCTCAATTTATTTCACACTTGAAGATTGGGGAGTCTAAATATGCTAGTGGAAGGAGGAATGTAAAAGAAAGCACTGAAATGCAAATGCAAAACAACATGACAAATAGTTGAGGATTTATAGAAATAATAATAAAGAATAAAGGAAGTAAACATTTACCCATGAAACTACGTTTTGCTCCCCCGGTTTTCTGGTGAGATCTAGTGCCTTACGTCCAGTAATCAACTCAAGCAAGACCACACCAAAACTATAGATATCAGATTTAACAGTTAATTTGCCACTCATTGCATATTCTGGGGCACAGTACCCATATGTTCCCATCACTCTGGTGGAAACATGGGTATTGTCTCCAACAGGACCAAGTTTAGCAAGCCCAAAATCCGAGAGTTTTGGGTTAAAATCATTGTCTAATAAAATGTTGGAAGATTTCAAGTCACGATAGATAACAGGTGGATTTGCTTCACAATGGAGATACTTTAGACCCTTAGCAGCGCCAACAGCAATCTTCAGTCGAATTCTCCAACTTAGTGGTTCTTTCTCTGCGTCATTTGAGAAAATAAAATGCAACCTTTTCAGTCACTCAATATTGTTAATGAAAAAAAAAAAAAAAAAACACAAAACTTGAGGAATGTGTGAGGTAACCAAAAAGATGACGTTCGAGGCTACCCATAGGCATGTATTCATAAACCAAAAGCCTTTGATGTCCATCGGCGCAGTAACCAATTAACTTAACAAGATTAGGATGATGTAAGAGGCTTAACATAAGAACCTCGGTGAGAAATTCCCGAAAACCTTGATGACCATCTAGGTTTAATTGTTTTATAGCAACAACCTACACAAGTAGATAGCATTAAAAAAATAAAATAACCATAGCATTGGAAGAAAGTCAATTCATAAAATTATTTCCATTAAATCCTGTCTAACAAGAATAGGTGTAATGTATGGCGGTGTGCATCCCCTATGTTATTCCTTATGATTTCAAATGCAATAAGCAAATATCGTTCACAAATAGAACTAAATAACCAACACAATATAAGAGTTATCTACTTATTGTGAATGATATCTACTTGTTGCTTGAAATCAAGAGGGATAACATATCGAGTGCATATTGAACATTACTGTTGAGATATATAAAATTCTGAAGGTTCTTATCAAGTGATATCTTCTTATCAAGTGGTATCAGAGCCTCGTGTTCCGAGTTCGATCCTCGTCGCCTTCCACTTTTTTTCTAGTGAAATTTCTTTCTTCGTACAGGTAGGTGAGCCTGTGCATTATCCATCATTCAAGCTCAGTGGGCTCTCGTGTGAGAGGGCTTGTTGAGATATATAAAATCATTAATATAATCTCATCCAATAGCTTAAACTTTTGAGTTGAATTGGTTATTTATAATTACAACGAAGATAAAGACAATCTTTATATGAAGTGTTATCCTTTACATATTTGTAAAGAAATTATTATCTTGATTCAAGCAAGTGATCTTTTGTTTGCAAGAAGATCAACTTTACCGATGCTCTAGGCTCGTGCTATTCAGAAGAAGGTGAATTCATAGTTTTTTTTTTTAAAAAAAAACATTCTTATTTACCTGGCCTGTAGAGAGATGACCCTTGTAAACCCTTCCAAAACCTCCTTCTCCAATCAAGTTCACTTCCTTAAAACCTCCTGTTGCCGATGCAAGCTCGCGAAAACTGAAACTGGTGGCTTTCGTTCCTTCTCCACTCTTGGACCTCAAATTATCATCAATGCCCACATTCTTCACATCAGAAAAGAAGCAACAAAAATGGCTCATTATTTTTTTTCTCCTCTCCTAATTCTCAATCACCAAACGCTCTTGCTCTTTCCCATATTCTAAGTCTCCATAAAAACTAATGAAATGGAAATTTTCTAATTATATATATACGCGTGCTTCATGCTATATTTGGAACACCAATCAACACTAATTTAGCCGCATGCCAACTGCCAAGCGCAACAGACTGTGTACAGAATAACACCTTTCCAACTGCTTTGTCCTTTCTGTCGTTAAACTAACATGTAAATAAATTTATGCATATATTTTTTTTGTTGTCTTATCTATCATTTTATATATAATATTTTATTTCCACTATGGTTGCTGCCTTCTTAGTCGTTATATATATGTATCTTTCTTCTCGGCATTATAAAGATTACGGTCCCAGCAAACATTACAATCATGAAATAAAATGATTTGAGTATCATTATACCCTCAGAAAGAAAGTGATTGGGTATCATGAATATGCATCTTTCAAAATATACATAAGCTAGGTTCAGTTGTTACTTACTAAATAATTCATATAATTGTATGGGTTTTATAAGAGTTATGTTGTAGGAAAAGTGATTGTGTAATGTTATAGAGATTCGTTTTGCGTGCCTTAATTTTTTATTTATTTTTTTGTTTTAAAAAGTGTGGGCCCCACAAAATGTTGTGAGTGTAGGTAGAGGTGGTAAAGCGGGCTGCCCGCCCCGCCCCTGTCCGCCAAAAGCCCGCCAAAAAGCGGGCTGGCCCGCCCCGCCCCGCCATTGAAAGTGGGCTAGATATCTCTGCCCGCCCCGCCCCGTTTGGGCGGGCGGGGCGGGCTGCCCGCCAAGCCCGTCACATTTTACACTAAAATTTTTTTAAAAAAAAAAAAATCAGCCCGGGCGGGCTGGCGGGCTTGGCGGGCAGCGAGTTTAGAAAACTCAGTCTGCCCCGCCCCGTTTGGCGGGCAGGGCGGGCTCGGCCCATTTTGCCAGCTCTAAGTGTAGGAAAGTTTGTTGTGTTATGTTAAAGAATAAAATGAAAACCCTAATTGTATTCTAAAAAAAATAAAAAATAATTCATATAATTATTTATTATACTTAATTATATATTATTATTGCATTTTTATTCTAATAATAAATTTGTAATTTCTTGCCAATTAAGCGTTTGTTGAAAATGCTAAGCATTGAGCTAGGTTGATGATAACTCTACTGTTTGTTAATGTTTTTTTAATGACAACCACTAACTTTTTTTGTTTTCTAATAATAGCTTTGTAATTTCTTGCCAATCAGACGTTCGTTGAAAATGCTAAGCATTTAGCAAGGCTAATGAGATAACTCTACGTTTGTTGATGCTTTTGATGAATTTTTTTTTAAAGAAAACGGTGATTTTGCGGTGGCAATCACATCCGTTAACTTTTTTTTTTAACATACATTAATTACCTTTTGAGCTTATTATGAAATTATTTCAAAGTGCGGGCGGGTCAGTAATAAAAATTTTAAATCCTTCTTAAAATGATATGTGAAAACCGAAACTTTTTCTTTTCTAGATGCCCTTTCCTTTCACTCTACATTTTTTAATAGGATCTCTCAACATTTTGTTAAGCGTGGCTATTCATACTGTTACGCTTTTGATAAAATAAATAAATAAAAAATTCATATATATTTCCTCCTTGTTTAATCTTTCCCGTTTATTTTTACATTAGATAACTCTACGGGATCATTTTATAAGCCTAACGTGTTTGTATTATCTTATTTTAAGAAAATAATTACTTTATTTTAATAGATTTATGAGAAAACTTTTAATAAAAAGTAATTATTTTTCTTGAATTAATATTTCCAAATATGCACTAAGGACTTGGCATGCATGCTGTACTGATTTTCTCTTGCATGTCAGAAAAATGCACATAAGCATTCATTTGTATTTTGTTACGTACAGATAGATCCAACGTCTCTCCATTTCTTTGCAACTAAAGCCACTCACTCACTCAGCATGAAAGCTAAACAAAAACGAACGGAAGTCTGAGTTCAATTTTGTCTTGGCCCTAATTATAACAATAATCCAATACTAGATAATTCGAACACAATAATGTATAATGTATCTTACGGGTGCCATGGTTAAAAGCTACTCTTTGAATCTTAAGATAATTCGATCATCGGATAAGGATTTTGGGATGATTTTTAGCCAATATCATAGGTTGAAATTGCGAAAGCAATATAAAGGTAAAACGGCAAACACCAGTACAAAAAGTTCCACCGTTTAATACAAGAGTGAGGGTTGATTATATGTAAATTTGTTGGGCTTCCTCCTTCAATGCTAAGTTCAAGCTCATTGAGGAATTTCTTAAAAATCTTAAACCCTAGATCTCACCTCCTCTATATATTCATTAGTTGTGGGTGGAGGCTAGGTTAGAGAGATTAAAAATTTGAGAGAAAATTGTTTGAGAAATTTGTGAGTAAAGCCTTGAGCTTTGTATTTGAGATATATCTAGAGAGAGTTTGAGTAAAACATCTCTAGGGATATTTGATTATCACCATTGTTGGAGATGTTGTGTTAACCACCACATTAGTGTATTTTGATTCTCTGTATCCCTTATTTTCATAATGGATGTTTGATCTGGACTAAGTCCCCTGGCTTTTTACTTCTTCATTGGAGAAGGTTTTCCCACGTTAAAACTGGTTGTGTTCTCTTTCTCTCTCTCTCTCTCTCTCTCTCTCTCTCTCTCTCTCTCTCTCTCTCTCTCTCTCTCTCTCTCTCTCTCTCTCTCCTGTTTGCGTTTTTTTATTTTCCTCTGCGCTGTCCGACCTGGTGAAGTTCAGGCCGAGGTAAGATGTTGAGATCCGAGATCCAGGATCTTGTTGATTGACTTCCGCGAAAAGGCTGCTTAGCCGACATAAGGGAACCGAGTTCCCAACAGTGGTATCAGAGCCCGAGTTCGACGGGTTCTGAGGGAGACGAGATGGAGACTAGTGGCATAACCCATGATGGAGATATGTTCAAGCTGACCGCATACAATTTTACCTATTGGAGACCGATGATGGAAGATCATCTCTATTGCAAAAATTTACGTGAGCCCATTATCCTTGATGAGAGACCAGCAGGCAATACCGATAAGGAGTGGGAGATTCAGAGTCGTAAGGCGGTAGCTACAATCAGAAAATATATTGACAAAAGTCTCTTTGAGCACATGTCCGAGTTCACGAACGCGTACGAGTTGTGGACGAAGTTAGAGTCCATGATTCAGAAGAAGACTCCCAGAACAAAGCATGTGTGGTTCGCCGACTTGTGAAGCTGGAATACAAGGACGGTATGAGCATGATTGAACACCTCAACACCTACAAAGGTATTGTGAATTAGCTGTCAAAGGCTGAGATGAAAATTAATGATGAGATGCAGGCTTTGCTGCCGTTGAGCTCGCTGCCAAAAAGCTGGGATACTCTGGTGGTGACTTTGAGTAATTCAACTCCAGATGGAAAGTCGAAGATGGATGTCGTGACTGACAGCCTCCTGAATGAAGAAGCCAGGAGATGAGAACGAGGTGTAACCAGCATGTCTGAGGCCAACGTTGCTGAGAACAGAGGGAAATCCGACTCCCAGGGTAGAAGTAAAAGCCGGGGTCGAGATCGTGACAGACGAGGAAAGTCCAGAGGTCGGTCAAAGCCGAAATATGAGTTGAAGTGCTTCTAAATTGGAAAGACAGGACATAAAAAGCCATACTGTTGGACTTTGCAGAATTACGAGAAGAACGACTCTGTGAAACCGGATCAGATTATTTCCAAGAAGAGGGAAGACAAGAGCACCACTGTTGTGGCTGCCAACTCGGATGTCGAGATATTCCTCCTAGGTGAGGATAATTATTTGAATGTTGTATATGATGATTGCACCTGGATTGTTGACTCTGATGCCTCCTTCCATGTTACTCCACACAAAAGTTTTTTCTCCACTTACCGAGGTGGTGATTTTGGAGACGTAAAGATGGGAAATCAGGTGACCAGCAAGATTGTTGGTGTCGGTGATGTAACTCTGATCACGGATGTTGGGTGCCGACTTGTGTTGAAAGATGTAAGGCATATTCCTGACATGCGATTGAACCTAATCTCGGTAGGCAAGCTTGACGATGCCGGGTTATTGAACTACTTCGGTAGTGTTAGATGGAAGCTGGCCAAGGGAAACTTGGTTGTGGCCCGAGGTAAGAAAGAAGGCTCCTTGTACGTGATGCAAGGAAATACCAATGGCGGAGAAGCCAATTCTGTCCTAGATGGACCTAGCTTGAAGCTATGGCACAAGCGCTTCGGCCACATAAGCGAGAAATGCCTCCAAATTTTGAATAAGAAAGGATTATTGACCGGATTTAAAGGCCAAACGTTGGAGAGATTCACGCACTGCATAGCTGAAAAGCAGCACTGGGTTTCTTTCGTGGAATCGGATCAACCCAGAAGGCGTAGGTATATTCTTGACCTCGTCCATACTGATGTTTGCTCCATGTCGGAGAGATCCCTTGGATCAGTACTTTGTTTCATTCATTGATGACCACTCCCGCAAAGTGTGGGTTTAGTTGTTGAAGTCTAAAGACCAGGTACTCCAATCCTTTAAAGAATTTCATGCAATGGTTGAAAGGGAGGCTGGCAAGAAAATGAAAGTGGTTCAGTCTGACAATGGTGGTGAGTATTGCGGTCTTTTTGATGCATATTGCAGAGCGGCCAGGATCCGACTTGAAAAGACGCCCCCAAGACTCCACAATTGAATGGACTTGCTGAGAGGATGAATCAGACTATTGAAGAGAAGGTCTGAAGTACGCTATCCAATGTCGGATTCTCGAAGTCATTCTGGGGAGAAGCTGCCAGAATTGCTGTTGACTTGATCAACCTCTCACCATCACGGCCACTTGAAGGAGAAATTTCAGAAAAAGTCTGGCCAGGTCAGAAAGCGGCCTATAATCAACTGAAGATGTTTGGATGCCGAGATTTCGTGCATATCCCTAAAAATGAAAGGGCAAAACTTGATGCGAAGACAAAAGAATGCATCTATCTTGGTTC